CTTTTTGTGTGCTTTTAAACTTTTTTGCACTCCTTATTTCTCTGTTTAGATGAGACTTTTTCATACCTTCATTCAAACTTTCTCTAAATTTGTAAATGAACTGTTCCACTGATTTCTCCAATTCACTGAACATCAATATTAATATCAATAATAAATGATATTAAATCTTCCTTTGAAAGTATTTTTAAGACCCGGGCTTTTGTCCCCATCTATTGATAGAGTTAAATGCCTTTGTTTTTCTAAATTATCTGGTGGTACATTGAGGAATAGGAATGTCAAACCAAGTACAAGTTAGTCTGAGCAATGATCAGGGCTTTATGTCTGCAAACTGAGCTGCTGCCTAAGTTTCTATAAGACTGGATGATTGCTAGGGATTTGTGATGGCAGGTACCAGATATCTTCTATAGTATCAGTAAATCCAGTCTGGGCTCTGGCATAGGTTTCACAGCTGATGGTATTTGGCACATATTATTCAGCCAGCCTGAGCAGGAAATGAGAATGGTGGTCATATGTATCTGTAATATCTGTTCAGTGAAGTGATCTTATAATATCTGTGCTTTCCAGTACCTAGCTGCAACTACAGAGTCAACTTCCAGTGATCTGGGTAGAAATACATGGTGTGATACTGGAATTGTTTGAAATAGAAATGTGGTACAAAAATAGAGCTTTTGATACTGCTCAATAGTCTAATTCTGTGTCCCCATATGTTCCAGAGGTTTGAAAGATGACTGGTGGCACAATTCTGGTTACCCTGCAATGGTTATGTGATAAATAAAAACAAATCTATTGAATTCCCTTCTATAGTAAGATTCTGGCAGTCAGGGGTGTTTTTTCACCTATTTCAAAGGACCCATAGTACAGAGAAGTGAAGCCAAAAGTTGCTGTGAGCCATATTGTTTTAACCTTGAGAAATTAGGCCACAGATAAGAAAGATCCTAAATTTCGAGAACAACAATACTGGGTATTCTACTGGCAAATAGAACTGAAATTGGCCGATAAGGCTCCCTCTTATAAATAGGAGTGAGACTAATATCTTCCCCACCATGTTTCACAGTTCTGTTTCAAGGCTTTCTTTCTTTCTTTATTTATTTATTTGCCTTATGTGATTATTTTGGGAGGCAATGGTGGCCTGGGTGATGCTTGATGAATAGGTTGACTAAGTGTCAGTCCGTCAAGAACCTGCTTAGCTACAGGACTGTTGGGTCGGTTTGCATCTGTCCTAAAATCTCTTAGCCACATTCCAGACAACAAGGACACAACCTTCACTGGCTCAATCATTCTGCTCTCACCCTCTCAACTATAGGCACTTGTCCAAGTCACCCATACATTCCTTTCCAAGGTCTCCATCGCAAGGCATTCTTCCTAGTCAGTTAAGTGATCTGCCACAGGCCTCTCTCTGGTGTTGCTGGTGCAGGGTAGTCCTCCAAGTCACTTACGCACTTTGTTTCCCTTTCAGTCTCTCCACCAAGTCTCTTAAGCACTCTGCCAATAAGTGCTACATCTAATCTCTCTACTGTAGGGTACGTCTCCACTCCACTCAGGTATCCATCATTTTGCTCTTAAAACTTAAAACTCCTTTGTGGATTTTCTGGGATATCTGGAATTATGGAATAAAAAACCTGCATAGTTGAGTGCACAAAGATAATTATTAATATTCATTATTAATATTCGTTTTACTAAAAGTGGACTGGGACCATCAATAAATATTATAAAATTTTCTAGTCAGCCCATGTCAGAGAAATTCAACTCTTATATAACAGTCAATAGTTTAGTCCTACAGAAACCCTAACTGTAAGAAATTTTGATTTTTCTTGGCATAAAGGAGCTACTGAAGGTTATATAATTTATTTATTTTGCTTTTTGGGTCACACCGGACGATGCACAGTGGTTACTCCTGGCTCTGCACTCAGGAATTACTCCTGGCAGTGCTCAGGGGATCATATGGGATGCTGGGGATTGAACCCGGTTCAGCCATGTGCAAGGCAAACGTTCTACCTATTGTGCTATAGCTCCAGTCCCAATTTTTTATAAAATTATGGAATACTTTTTTGTGACACTACAGCATTATATAAGTATTCTTTCAGTAACTCCTAAAATACTACTATTCTAAGTCAATGTTTTCAAATCTACTTTTAAAATGAACAAATTTGACTGCAGATATAACTCAGTGGCAGAGCACATGCGCTGCACGTGGAAGGCTCTAAGTTTGATTCATGGCTGCACAGGTGGAGGGGAAAGAACAGGAAAATTGAGGCATAAAAGGTTAACTTTTGTAAAGGTATACAGTAATTTGTAAGTAGAATTAGAATACTAACACAGATATTTTGGCTCGTAAGAGCTAGTTACAAGGCAAGCTACTTAAGTACAACGCCAAGAAGCATGTATCATTCAAAAAACAAAATAATATTCCTGACTCAGAAAAGTCAAGATCAAAACAAAGGGCAAAGTTGGTATGACAATCCTACTCTTTGTATTAATTCAAACCAGAGACCCTCTGACTGTTATACAGGAATGACAAAATATGAGTAACAAATAATTATTGAATGTCTATCATGGTCTGAGTTCTCTAGTATGAGGCAGAAATATAGAAATACACAAACCATATGTTGACTCCATACATAGACATTATGAAAGAAAGGAAAAGTTGGGGACAGGATGGGATGTGGTTAGTAAACTAATATTCTAAAAGGAAATGAGATTTAAGCCATTTGAATGAATCCAAACAGGGGTGACCTTGAGCATAGAGAAAATTACAGGCATAGGAGATATATACATATATACACATATACATATATGTGTGTGTGTATATATATAAAGGCCCTCCCGTTGATCGTCGATTTGCTCGAGCGGGCCCAGTAACGTCTCCATTGGAGACTTTGTTGTTACTGTGTCTGGCATATCAAATACTCTCGGTAGCTTGCCGGGCTCTCCGAGAGGGGCGGAGGAATCGAACTCAGGTCGGCCATGTTGGCCGCTTGTAAGGCGAACGCCCTACCCGCTGTGCTATCGCTCCATATATATATAAACTGTGACTAAACAGTAAGTTTAAAAATAATTCTCAAGAGGCTGAAGTGATAGCACAGCAGGTAGGGCATGGCCTTGAATGTGGCTGACCTGGGTTTGATTCCCAGCATCCCATATGATCCCCTGAGCACTGCCAGGAGTAATTCCTGAGTGCATGAACCAGGAGTAACCCCTGTGCATCGCCGGGTGTGACCCAAAAATAAAAATAAAATAAAATAAAATAAAAATAATTCTCAACTACAATTTATTGTTATTAAATACAATTTTCAATAACAACAATAAAAATCTTCTGGAATAGAGAAAATCCATAAAAAGTATACAGTAAACTAACATTCTAGCCTAAATAAAAACTTTAACTACATGAAGCTCATTTGTAACTTTCCTTGGTAAATTTTCAAATATTAATGGGTAAAAAAGTATTATTCTTCCAATGTACTCATAACATTCTTTGTAATAGGCATGTCATAATAACATCATCAGGGAATCTAAGACATAGCAATTACTCCCAAACTCAGTTTGTTAAAAATAGTGCTGGAAAAAAAAATAATGGTGGAGTACTGGGAATGGAGGTCAGCAGCGGAGAATTTGTCTTGCGTGTATAAGGCCCTGAGTTCAATCCTTGGCACTGAAAAACAAAAACAAAACAAAACAGAACCCGGAAGAACACTAATGCATATGCAATTATGGAATCACAATGAAATGAATTCTAAAGAATAGCATGTTAAATTCTTTCACTTTAAGAATAGATTGAGACCAAAAAGGAAAGTTACTTGTCCAAAGTGACATAGCTACTCACATAAACATTAGCAAATTCCACCTATCCTGCCTTCAAAAGTTACAATAAAGTTTTGTAGTATGTTATTAGAAGCATACTATTAACATGTATATCCTATAGTACAATTTATATATAGTGTATTTTATGGTATATGTGTAGTATATTTCATCACTGTAACACTGTATCACTGTCATCCTGTTGTTCATCGATTTTCTCGAGCAGGCACCAGTAATGTCTCCATTCGTCCTAGCCCTGAGATTTTAGCATGTTCCACACTGGAGGCTCCTTCAGGGTCAGGGGAATGAGATCCATCATTGTTACTGGGTTTTGGCATATCAAATACGCCACAGGGAGCTTGCCAGACTCTGCTGTGCAGGCAGGATACATTCGGTAGCCTGTCGGGTTCTCCAAGAGTGAGAACTTGTCTAGACATTCACGGCTGCGTGCTTCCAGGAGCTGGGTTTTATTGTCCCTGGGTCTTGGCCGTTGATGGGATAACACGGCGCAGGGGGCAGTTGGTGGTTTAATGCCTACCTACTGGAAGATGGGGGATCTGGGATTTAGGTTACTAAGGTAAAGGTAAAGGTAAAGGCCCTCCCGTTGATCGTCGATTTGCTCGAGCGGGCCCAGTAACGTCTCCATTGGAGACTTTGTTGTTACTGTGTCTGGCATATCGAATACTCTCGGTAGCTTGCCGGGCTCTCCGAGAGGGGCGGAAGAATTGAACTCGGGTCGGCCATGTTGGCCGCTTGTAAGGCGAACGCCCTATCCGCTGTGCTATCGCTCCAGCCCAGGTTACTAAATGTGCCTTAATTTCTTCACTTAAAAATCAAGAATTAAATTACTATCTAGATCAGAGCACTACTGTGGCAAGTAAAGGGATGCCACAAAATTCAGAGGAAATAAGAGAAACAAAACACAAATGAGAGAAAAGCTGAGCATATGTCATAGTTTATTTTATTTGATGCTTAATACTAACATGTGATTTAGCATGGGAATAGAGAACACAATATCCCTCTATTTTTTGGTAGGGTGCACTTCCTGAAGTGGTTGACGTATTATGCAATGCCAGGTTTCAAACATAGGGCTCCCTCATGCAAACCATATACTCAAGCACTATGAGTTTTCTCAGTACCAGGATAACATTTGAAAGACAAATTTTTCAATGTACTAAAGACTATTCATGTAGAAGCATACTTACTTGGTCAGCCTTTGGATGGTAAGCAAGTGAACATTATTATGTGTTTGGGAAAGAACAGCTTCATGCTGCGCACATTTCAAACAAAGACCACCAGCATAGCTAGACATATTATCAGCAATAAGAGTCTCTTTATGCAGTAATTGCCCTTTAAATTCTTCACAATCTTTCTGAGATTCAGCTAAATATTTTCTACAAAAGAAAAGGAAAATAGTTCTAGCAGATGGAAGGATAAAATTACACTACTTATAAATATATCATCAAATACTATGATGAACATTTGCAAGGTGCTTTATATGCCTTTTTTCATTTTTCAATTAATAACTTGAATATGTTAATAATCATACCAAGTTCTTTTCCAATTTTAACACAGATGACTCTCCCTCTGAATATATTAACATAGTAGAATAGAGAGATGGCTCAAAGTGCTTAGGACAGACTTCGCATCAAGGAGGTCTACTCTCAACTCCTGGCACATGATCCCCAAAGCACCACTGAAAGCAGTTCCTGAGCACAGAGCTGGGAGTGACCCCCAAGCATTATTGGAATAGGCCCCCAAATGATAGGACTTCATAAATAGTAGCCATCAATCAGAAAAAAGGCAATTTACTAAGGACAGGGCTTATAACTGTGTGCACATATGTGTCTTTTTTATTCCTTTTTTTTAATGCAAAGGGTCTTGGGTAAAGTTTCTCCATAATATGACTATTTAAAAAGGGCCAGAGAGATAGTAGGTGCAGTGAAAGGAATGAATTCTAGTTGTTTGAAATGTTTAGCTAAAGTACTTTTAAGTAAAATACTTGGAAGATTTTTATTCTATATTAATCAGCAGTCTTATTCTTTTTTGGGGGGGGGGTATGTGGTGGAACATATCCAGCAGTGCTCAGAGGCTATTATTACTTTCATCTTTAGGCTTGAAAGTCCTTCCAGTTGTTGTTCAGGGGACCATGAAGTGGTGGAAATCAAACTCAGACCACCTATTTGCAATAGACGCGTTCACACCTTCGAACTATCTATCTCAGTACTTGAGAAAGGTTTACTTAAGGGCTAGAAAGACAGTATAGCAGGTAGGGTACTTGCTTTGCATGTAGCCAACTGGTGTTCAACCCAGGCACTTCATGTGAGCCTTCCAGGAGTGATCCTGAGCCGGAGCCAGGAGTAAACCCTAAGCACAACCTGTTGTAGCTCCCAAACAAACAAAAAATGGTTTACTCAAAATTAAAAACTGTTCTTTAGGGGCCAGACACAGGGCTTAAAGTGCTTTATCTTGCATTTGGCAAACCTCCTGTGTAATCCACAGCACCTCATATGGCTCCTGTAAACCACCAGAGGGCACCAGAGAGCAAAATGCCAGGCACAGACGCAAGTAAGGCACTGTCCTCCCACTGTTCATCAATTTGCTCAAGTCTCCATTGTGAGGCTTGTTACTGTGTTTGGCATATCAAATACGTCACAGGTAGCTTGCCAGGCTTTGCCATGGGGGCGAGATACTCTCAGTAGCCGGCTGGGCTCTCCAAGAGGGGTGGAGGTATGGAACCGGGTCGCCCGGGTTGGCTGCGTGCAAGGCAAATCGCTGTGCTATCATTCCAGCCCTGGCCATGAAAGTAATTAAAAACTCAATTCCTCCAAAAAAGTATTCTTTTCATGTATATTTTAGTATTGAACATGTGACTTACAATATTGTTAATGAGAGAGCTTGAAAATACAACACCTCATCTTACATCAGTGTCCATTTCCCTCCACCCTTCACCAGACCAAATATATCCTAAAATTATATGAATTCAAAAATAGTTCATTATCACTATTTGAAATAAGCTTTAATATTTTAACATCATTACAGTAAAATATTCAAACTATAACAATATTGTTGAGATATTAAAATTAGATGAATATTTATAAAGAAAAAGGCATTTGAAAACTAGGATGCTTTCGCTTTGTTATTTATAGTAAAAGCATCATTTGTAAGGCCAGAGATGATTGAGTGGAAAAATATATGGCTTGCTCTCTGAGGGCCTCCGATATCTTTGGCACTATAAAAATACTTTTAAAAATAAAATCGTAATTTCTACAAGAGTAGCTAGGGATTCTTATTTCAAAGAGAAAACATTTTTTTTATAACGTGATTATATAAAGTTGATAATTTACAACACATGTCTTTGAAATAGTATTTAGAAAAAGACCACACAGTTTTACTCTTCCTTTTCATAAATTTCTATTTTGGAGGGACTGGTTATACCTGACTGTACTCAGGACTTTTTTGGGAGAGGATATACTTAACTTCACTCAGGGATTACTCCTGGCTCTGTGCTCAGGTGTCATCCCTAGGGGTTCCAGGAATCAGCCACACGCAAACCAAATGTCCTACCTGCTGCACTATCTCTCCAGCCCCCTTCCCCCTCAATCTCAGTACATTTCTTACATTTCATGTAAAATACCAATAACTATTTGACCAACCCAGCAGTGTTCATGACCTACTCCTAGCTAGTGCTGTGCTCTGGGATCACTTCTGTCAGAGCTCTGGAGACTACATGTGGTGCCGGGGACTGAACCCAGGTGAGCCCAGAAAGAAAAATGTCCTACCAACTGTACTATCTCTCTTATCTACTCGGACTTTACTCTATCTCTGTCATTTACACGGACTAAAACTTACATATAAATACACCTTAGATCATTATAATTTTGTTGTACTTTAAATGGATGATAACACTTTACCTTAAAAATTTCAGTTGAGGTTCCAGCATTTCCCTCTTTTCCTCATAAGGAAGTTTTAGCTCCTCCTTTAGAAAAGGGGAAAAATATAGATAAATATATTCTAAATGTCCCATTTTTTTCTTTTGGGGTCACACTTGCTGATGCTCAGGGGTTACTACTGGCTTTGCACTAAGGAATTACTTGTAGTGAGGCTTGGGGACCAAATGAGATGCTGGGGATCGAACTCAGGTCAGATGTGTGCAAGGCAAAGGCTCTCCCCACTGTACTTTAGCCAAGGATTTTTTTTTGTTTTTCAGGAATTGAATTGGATCAGCAACATGCAAGTACCTTAACCCGTGTATGAGTCCTCTTCCTTAGATCCTTTAAACATATTATTAATATTCTGACACTGTCACTGTCCTCCCGTTGTTCATCGATTTGCTCGAGCGGGCCCAGTAACGTCTCCATTGGAGACTTTGTTGTTACTGCGTTTGGCATATTGAATACACCACTGGTAGCTTGCCAGGCTCTGCTGTGTGGGCGAGATACTCTCAGTAGCTTGCCGGGCTCTCCGAGAGGGGTGGAGGAATCGAACTCGGGTCGGCCGTGTTGGCTGCATGCAAGGCAAACGCCCTACCGCTGTGCTAAAGTAAATATTTTATTTTTGTACCCAAGGAAAATAAATGTTTTCATTGATTTCAGAAACGTTTTAGAAACATCTTTCACTTATTCCAAAGCATATATTTTTATCCTGGGCTGGAGCGATAGCACAGTGGGTAGAGCATTTGCCTTGCATGCAACCAACCTGGGTTTGATTCCTCCTCCCCTCTCAGAGAGCCCAGCAAGCTACCGAGAGCGTCTCGCCCGCACGGCAAAGCCTGACAAGCTACCCATGACATAATCGATAAGCCAAAAACAGTAACAAGAAGTCTCACAATTTGTTGTGAGATGTTACTGGTGCCTGCTAGAGCAAATTGATGAACAATGGGAAGACAGTGCTACAGTGCTATTTTTATTAAATAAAAATCTGCAAAGAACTATTGAATCATAAAAGGGCAATTTTATGATACAACTTTTTGTTTTCAAAACTGCATATATCAGAGGCTAGCAATATGAAACAACAAAAATAAAAATCATATCAGGTCATTGGTATTGAACTCCATCATAGAGAGTTGCCCCAGGCTGATATCACTGGGGCACCTTTGGAGGGAGATGTCTCTGAGCCCCCAAATTGCCATCCAGTTAAAAAAATTAACTCAAATTTAGCACTCTATGAAAAAAAAAGTTTAGTATTCCAGGAACATGCTACTGTGAAAGGGGTCACACGACATCTCATACAATTAAGTCACTGATATACCAAGAGCAGCAGATCAAATTTGATAGGGTGTAAGAATGAAGACAACCAATCTTGATGAAAAAAATAGATATATGTACATATATATGTGTATATATATATATATATACATATTCAAACTCATCTGAATGATTTATAATACAGGGCTAACCTAATTTCTAACATGATGGCTCCAGAATGGGATACAACAATTTTCACACACTTTCCTTTAAGGAAATATTTTTGATCATTTTTAGTCAATTATTCATAACAAGCAATACAAAATAAATTACTTAACATCTGCCTTTTGTGCAGGCTTGGGTGGTGGTGGGATTGGTGTTAAATATTGAATGTAATCAATATTTACATTGTGAACAAACAATGTGAACAAATCATTGAAAAAAATTTAAAAAATAAATCTAAAAATCTAAAAATAAATAAAAAGAAGAAAAAAATGTGGAAAGGAAAATGAACAGACACTTCTGAGAGGAAGGTAGGTGGATGGCTAGTAGGCACATAAAAAAAAAATCAGCATCTTATCATCAGAAAAATCATTAACAAGACAACAATGAGGTACCAACAATGAGGTAATACAGAGAATGGCAGCACTGTAGCACTGTCCTCCAGTTGTTCATCGATTTGCTCGAGTGGGCCCAGTAATGTCTCCATTGTGAGACTTGTTGTTCGTGAGAATGGCACATAGTATAAATAGTAGGAGCAATTTGGTTGGAGTGTATGTGGTTAAAAAGGAATTCTCATCCATTGCTGCTGGAAATGTTGATTGGTACAACCCCTGTTGAAAACAGTATGGAGAGTTCTCAGTAAACTTAGAATCGAACTATGATAAGACCGAACAATTCCACTTTTGGGCATCTACCTCCAGATATAAAAACGTTATCTCAAAAGGACATATGCACATTATTATTCATTGCTGCACTCAGTACAAAAGCTAAGATATGAAATCAACACAGGTGCCCAATGACAGATGGATCATGAAGATGTGGCAAATATATATATACACATATATATATGCACACACATATAGTATATACTATATATGTATACTTACAATGGGAAGCTATACAGTTTCAAAAAATGAAATTATGCGGTTTGCTGCAACATGGTTGGAACTGGAAGATCTCATGTTGAATGAAGTGAGCCAGAAGATAAAATACAAAACGCAGAATGATATCATTTTTCTGTGGTGTACAGAATACTGGATGAGGAAATGTATTGTAGTAAAAGGAGGGGGGGCATGTTTTGACCACCCATGACCAGCATTTACAGAGGAGGACAGAGAAGAAAAGAAAGTACAGGGGAATAAGAAAACGGTTAGTTATTGGTGAACAGGCATCAGAGCTTCAGTTATACTGGAGAAATTGGTGAGTGGTATAGTCATATATCCAAAACACAGACTCAACAACACTGAACATGTGAATTCCAAGCTGCAACTTTCTAACTGAAACTTTGTAATGTGCCTGTCTAGCTGAAAGACAGGGATGGAGTTGGAGTTGGGGGGTAGGAAGGGAATATGGTAATACTGGTGGAGTGAAGATGGTGGGGTTGGTGTTCAAATATTATATGCCTAAAAGGCAACTATTAATAACTTTGTAAACTACAGTTCTTTAAAAATTATTTTAAAAGAGATCGCTCATATGACAGATATTTAAAACACATTGAGGGATCAACTTTCCTATGGCAAAGTTATCAGAACTGGAGATATAACTGAGCCTAAATGGGAGGGAGTGTGTGGTTGGATGGGGGCAAGAGGTGGGCAGGGAACCCTAGGGACATAAAAGAAAGCAGATACTCTGGTACTGGGTGTACAGTAGCACTATAGCACTGTCCTCCTGTTATTCATTGATTTGCTCGAGTGGGCACCAGTAATGTCTCACAACAAATTGTGAGACTTGTTACTGTTTTTGGCATAGTGGGTCACGGGTAGCTTGCCAGGATTTGCCATGTGGGTGAGATACTCTCAGTAGCTTGCCGGGCTCTCCGAGAGGGGCGGAGGAATCGAATCCGAGTCAGCTGAGTGCAAGGGAAACACTTTACCCGCTGTGCTATGGCTCCAGAAATGTCTTAAACATGAATGATGCATGAAAAGTGCAATTAACAGTATTTTAAATACGTTATCTCAATAAAAACAGCTAAAAAGAAATTGAGTTACATATGCAAAATTAAACAATTCAGCTGTAAGAGAAGATGAACCGCTGCAGGTTGCCACAACATTGAGAGAACAATAAGGGTCACCTTAAATTAAATAAGTAAAATTGGTGAAAGACAAATATTGGATGAACTAACTCATATAGAGAAACAAAGTAGGGAATAGACAATAGAAAATGAAAACAAAACCTTAGACTCTTATAAAGAACTAAGATTGCCAAGTGAGATGCAGGAGATGGGGAAAAAGGGGAGAGGAGAAAGAATAGGAGGATGAGGATGACATGGGATATAGGGAGAGTGATGAGGAATATGGGCACCTTGATACTTTGCATGGTGCTGTAACATAAGCTAAAGTATAAATATTTGCACAATTATAAACCATGTTACCTCAATAATGATAATGTGCAAATGAAGGTAACATTGTAACATAAAATACTATTCCGTCAATGTGATACATCTGTAATGCTCCATTAATATCAATATTATATATTATCTCATGTTAATGTTCAAAAATAAAACAAATATGCTCTCTATAACTTCATCCTTTGTATAATCATGATGTTAGTTTTCTTATGAATGCTCTTACTGAGATATATAGAAACAAAGTAAGGAATATACAATTCCTTCCCCTTTGTGTTACTCACTTCTCTTACCCTCAGAATTCACTTTGCCAAATTTCCTTTCCCTTTTCACTTCCCCTTCTACTTCTTTGCATTGCATAAATAATAAAGAGTCTGAATAACAGAGTCTCTGTTTGCTAAGTGACTATATGTTAGAAAAAAATGTATTAGTAAAATTAGTTATTTTTGTACTTTTTGTGTGGTTAACTTTTAGTACTTTCATCCTATAACTAAGTTGTCTTCAAATTAACTTTAAGACAAGAAATTAAAATGAAATCTTAAACTATTAATATTAAAAAAAAGAAATGTTTCTAAAAGTACCGAAAGAAAAAGGCTGATAAAAATTAATTGCAGAAAAATAAAATGAAATACTAAGTGGTTCAGTTTATTATTCATATTTAATACTATAAGTTACTTCTAAACAGAAAATTCTGAGATACGTTGCTCAAGGATTAATAATTAAATGTTACATTAGTAAAAAAACTTCAAAAATAAAAAATACAAGATAACAAATCATATATTAAGACATCTATATTGCTTAACAGAATTAATTTGCTAATAACAGCTAAATCTAAACCACCAAAATCAATTGCTAAGTAAAACTGCAACAGATAAGTACTTCCTTTTGGGAAGTCAAATTTGTCTCAAAAAGCAGAACAAGTTGTGTTCAACTGCATACTACAGCAATACTACAAATCCCATCCCCAGTATCAACTTCCCTCCACCAGTGTTCCTAAATTCCCTCCCTAGATTCCAACAACACACCATGCAGGCACCTTTTTTTACGACCACACCATTCTGCATACTGACAGGCACCTTTCTAAGTTTGGTTATTTATAGTCTGGAAGTGAAAACCATTTTTAAATACAAAGTATCTCTTTCTAACCATATATTAAATTTTAACACTATTTAAATATCACAAGAATTTTATGTCAAAAATTAAGAAATCATCTAATCTACTGTTCTT